ACACGTAACAATATTTATCTTACATACAACGTGAAGCAATAGAATACGACGTTATGTAATTTTTCTCTTCTTATCAACAAACAATAAGTTTTTTCTAAAAAAGGGAGTATCTATTTTAGCATACTTGTTTCGTATTTATGAACATACTTTAATATATTTGTTACAATAAGTTCGTGACCAAAATTCTCCTGTTGTTCACGGCCTGTATGGGACGTCTTTCATCTGGCCAACCAAATTATTTAACTTATGTCAATGGCTATAATTTTTTTATAATCATCAGCACGTGTATAGAAATGTATCTCTTGCAGTCTCGTCAGAATCACCGTTCTTCTATAAACTTCTAATGTTAATAAACTAAACGAAAATTGTTAAAAACAAAGAAATAATTTTAAAATGCAATGCACTTACAATTGAAACTATGAAATATCATGTTTAGATACAAGCCTTTTTTTCTATTGTCGTCTGTTGTGCAAACCTGATGATGGCCACACTAGTGGTCGAAACGTTGTAATTAAGTTAAACAATCCACTCTAATTCTATAGCTATATCTCTGGACTTTTATTTAAAAGTAAGTTGTTGTTTATACGTCGTTGTATGTTATATGTTTGCTTACATGTTGTTTCAAGGTCTATTGTGTCATCAGTGTTTAATTATCAGCAAGAGTTTCCTTACAACATTAATTATAGAATAATTAAATATCAAGAATAAAAGTGTTGTATGACACAGTAACAATGATAAAACACAGTACCAGCAGATTTAGCCCAACGTATTCGTGGTTCCGGAAACCCTTCTGCCTGACAGTTGACTACAATTCCTCGTCCTTTGATGACGGACATGTCAAAAGGTTCTATAATCCATCGAGGTGGAACTGGTGGTAAAAAAGGTGAATAATTATTTTGTCGTACGTAGAAAATAAATTGTTTATTTAATTCTTTACCAGTAGCACGTGATTCGCGAATTAGATTTTTCATGAGAACATGAGGAAGAAAATGAATTGAGTTATTAGCTGACATGATACGTAAATTGTAACAGGTTGCTTCAGTAAAACATAACAAATTGATGGGTGCGATAGTGAAAACACCGTATCTATAAATGTCTCAACCGTGTTAGTGAGATAAGGTTGGTGGCCATTTTAGCTATTGTTAGTTGACTGAAGTTACCAAAGAAGACTGACCATGGAAATTAATGTCAGATAGTCCACAGGGTAAATAGCAACTCAGGATTGTAATTTTCAACACTGACTTAGATTTTCATGTGACAAATCATGGCATAATAGCTTCTGAACAGAAACTTGTGCAAAGAGAACACACTTTATAACCACATTTTATAAGAAGTAAAGCAAATATTTCTCGAAGTAAAGAAATGAAAGAAACAAAGGGTTCAGATAAACGAAGGTAAGCCTACCATGAATTACCATTGTAGCAGTGTGACTGACAGTGCCAGCATCATTACTAGCGATGCACGTATAGTTGCCACGGTGCTTGAGACGAACTGACTCAAAAAGCAAATGTGAGGAGTAATCCACCACCTCGTTAATAAGTATCCCGTTGTCATGCGTGATTGGTTGTTCGTTTTTAAACCAGCGAATCCTGATAGGCAAGTCTCCACTGCTAACGGTGCATACTGCAGATGCACGTTGAAGCTCCTTTAAAGTCCTCGGAAAGGTGAAAGGTTCAATGACAGGTTTCACTAGAATACATGAAAACAGCGTCATGTTATATAGAATAATTACTAATTCAGTAATTTAGGTGTCTGGTATTAAAATGCTATAAGCAATTACACAGGGAGATTAAAGGAAATATTCAGAACTGTAAGAAGCTAAATAAACTAAATAAAACAAAGAGATTCAAAATCATGCCTTTCTTATCTATTTATTTATCACAGCTTAGGCTTACTTATATAATTTATACAAAAATCGAAGCAAATGTACGTCACTACTGTATATACCTATATATAAGGACAAGATAAATATATTTATTAACTGATTCGTTGTTGTTATTATTAAGCGCAAAGCTATACAAACAGCTATAATGTGCTCTGTTCACCGTGGATATCGAATTCCGATGTTTGGCGTTATAAGCCTCCATTATTACCATCAAACCACCAGGAGGCTATTTCATAGCTTCACTAACATTCCTCTAAATACAGTTTCGGTTTAAATATGTAAATGGTCACAAAGATAAATATAAACAATTTCTCAGAACACGTTTTATATATATTACACCCAATATGTGTTATAAATCGTTGTTCAGATTCTTATGCTACTACTTTATACATTAATGTTGTCCCAAAACATATTACCACGTGTTACAAGAATAGGAGAACTAACCCCGAATTTTCACAAAGGCCGTTTTGTCATCACTCTGACCTTCTTTGTTCTTCGCCACACATGTGTAAGGACCTTCATCTGTCGCCCTTTCCACATGATGTACTTCTAAAGTTCCGTTCTTGTGGACTTTTTGGCGGTGGTTGTAAGGGAGCCGAACTCCGGCTGTACCAAAAGAAAAGAAAGTTTATGGTGAAACGTACCTTGTAATAACATTAATAAAAAATGGAATACGGCTAGAAGACGTCTGTTTCTATTAATATACGTTAGTACAAACTGCTTATAATGAAAAACTATATTTGTGATCTTAATATACGTTAATACAAACTACTTATAATGAAAAACTATATTTGTGATCTTAATATACGTTAATACAAACTACTTATAATGAAAAACTATATTTGTGATCTTAATATACGTTAGTACAAACTACTTATAATGAAAAACTATATTTGTGATCTTTAGAAAACTTAATTTTATTCAGTAAAGTAACACTGAAGTGTGTTTAAAACAAAACAATGGAACATTTGAAGATATATAAAACCGACCTCTTTCCCAATGAATAGTTTCTAAGGGGTAACCCCCCACTGGACATCTTATAATGAGGACTTCTCCTGCAACCACCGTTATATTTCTCATTCGTCTTACCACTGGGGGACCAAAAATGTTGACTCTTGCAGAATGACTTATAGAACCGACGCCATTGTTTGCTTTACATTCGTACTCACCACCGTCCTCGATTCGAGAGCTTGAAATGTTTACGTAACTCACTACAACGCCACCTGGTGTAACATAATCTCCCAGGCGAATTCGATGACTTTCAGGAAGAAGAGCACCATCTAGCTGCCAGGCTATTTCTGGCAGAGGACTTCCACTAGCCACACATTTGAGAGACACAAGATGTCCTGGCTGAAGTGTCATTTCGTGGAAAGTGTCCTGAAATTCAGGTGTTTCATCTGCGGACGAGATTGATTTTATAAGAAAGCATAATTATCAGAATGAAGGTTATAAATCTATTAAATGAAGTTCCGGTAAAGAGGTTAATAACCCGAGCGTTTTTTGGAAGATCCTTTTCACTCATCACAAGTGAACTAAAAGATTTAATCTCAATTTTCAAACTCCTCAAAGTCGACTTTCCAAAAAAAACAACAAAACACTCGGTTATTTAATTGAGCTTTTTGAGTTGTGATTTGTGTCCTTATGTAAAGTAAAACTTCTTTAATCCCACTTCATATTCCACGCACAGGAACTCAAGTCCAAGCAAATTCAGTGATAAATAATGGTACAAATTTCCATAAACATAAGCCAAAATCGTGACTGTTTTAATAAAAACTTACTTTTTCTAGGAAATTTCATGAACATTTGTTGCTCGGATCATACAAATATAAACGATTTAAAAAACACACAAAAAAGTAGCAATGTTTCCAGTAAAGATGGCCAAACATTTTTCAAAATATGTTAATTGCAACTTTCAGCAAATTTTCTATCTCGATCTTCCATCCTATCTACCTCTTAATATCAGCAAGGTGATTATTTAAATTGTTTTGTTTTTACTTACATCTCAAAACATCTTCAAGTAACAGATAGACTGCTATTTATTCTTTTTCTCATCTATACCACCTATAACAGCGGTTGTATGAGTTGATATTTCATGTTTATCTGCTATCTAGCCTATTTCTTTATGTCGTCGCCCTGACTGTCTGAATTGATATTTCACGTTTATTTGTCATCCAACCTTCCCATAAATGTCAGCGCCATGACTGGCTGATTTGGTATTTCACGTTTATCTGTCGTCTAACCTACCTATAAATGTCAGTGCCATAACTGGCTGAGTTGAAATTTCATGTTTAGCTGTCATCCAACCTACATATAAATGTCAGCGCTATGTCTGGCTAAGTTCATGTTTCATGTTTATCCGTCATCCAACTTACTTATAAATGTCAACGCTATGACTGGCTCTCTGAGTTGATAGTCTATTTTCAACTTCGATCCAACCTACCTCCTAAAGTCAGCTCAGTTGCTGCTTGAGCTGACTCCATGTTGTTGTAAATAAAACACTGATAAACCCCTGCGTCCTCTCGTACAACGCTGTATATCTGCAGGTGGTCCCAATTTACCCTGATTCGTTTATTAGAGACCGGTATTACAGAACTATCCTTCTGCCAGGTAACTGAATGGATAGGGTATCCTCGCAATGTGCAGTTTATACCCGCAGATCCTCCAAGACGTATTAGTTGACGTACGGGAATGATTTCTGCACTTAGAGGGGCTACAATACAAGAGTAATAAAAACATCTAGAGCATTGTATACATTAAAACTGTAGAAACTGAATAACATATAAGTCGTTTTTAAAAACCCAAAAAAGTATATTCATTATTTTAGAAACTGAGAAAAAAACGCATTTCATTGGTGAAATTGAAACTAAATAATAATAATACACTGACTGGTCGTTTTATATGCAGTCATATCACTATTAGTCTGCAATAAAATGGAAGAGAACAAGTATTTATTTAACTTTCAAACGGACAAAGGCTTATGGATCTGTTCCGTACTTTCAACCGTGGGTGTGTTATAAAAGTGATAGTCAAACCCCACTATTCAATTAGAGTAGCTTAACAGTTGACGGTGGGTGCTGTTGACAAGCTACCACCCCTCTAGTCTACCAGGTGAAACACAGGCACACAAGTTCATGAACTTGCAAGTCGTTTTATTAAATTACTTGAAACGCGAATATAATTTTCTCGAGTAATACAGAACTTAAAAGATAGAAAGGTTTATTTGGACAGTTTTGATGTCATATCTTTTAAAATTAATATCGAAAGAGAGCTGCAGTAAAGAGTAAATAATGTATATCATGATGGAGAAAGCAAAGTGTATTTTATTCGGCGTATTGTTTCTGAAAATCTGTTATCAAAACATAACATTATCTGTTTTTAACAACATTTCATATGACGAAACTGATGGAGTGGCGATGAGAACAAAGATAATGTCTTTTCTGGTTAGTTTGTTTCTCTGTACACGTAGCAGGGGTGATTAGAATTATGACGATACTTATTTTATCTGTAATATTTTAAGTTTTTTAATTATTTCAATACCAAGTATAATAGTTTAAAATACAGAGCAGATCACCAATTTTTTCCCCATTTTTCCAAACATTAGCCCACAACAACAACAAGAATACATTGAATGTAGAGGCTTCCATAAAAATACATATTCAGATCTTTTTCGTCATTCCTTTAGTTTAGTGCCCGGCATGGCCAGGTGGATAAGGCGCTCGACTCACAATCTGAGGGTCG